GATGGCAACCTGGGAAGAAAAAAAAAGAAAACCAGCAAAAAAAAAAAATTCTTTCACTATTCCAAACGATTTATAAAAATAAAATCGTGATTCTTTATTGCTTTGGGTGGCAGATTGCCAGAAGCAAACTTAACAACCGATGTGAGAACAAAACAGGTTTCCTTCGAAAGCAGTAAAGTTTCGTGTGTTTTGGACGTAGTGAGAGGGGTTGGTGCAGGTAAAAATCTAGAAAGCTTTAGCGTCCCATCGGCTGCTTGTGTTAAGTGGCTGCTTCTCTTGTTAACCAAAATGGCAATTAAAGAGGCTAGTCCTGATTAAGGTCCCCAAGGGGGAAAAAATGCCACAGAATCTACAGGGAGTGCTTCTGTAATTTAGCGATCCCTGAAGAAGGGAGATCTCTACAATTAGATTTAAACATAGAAAGCGTGCTGTTTTTTTAAAATATATATATATATAGAAAGCTAAAAAAAATTGGGCGACGCGTCAATAAGTTTTCAAAGGCACAAAACGCCTGCGATTCAACGGTGGACTAGTTTCCAAGGAACAGGGAGGTCCTTGACTTATGACAGATCCCCTTTGTGACGGTTTGAAATTACAATGGACCTTTTCCCCCTCCTCCAGAAATCTACTTACCGCCCAATTTTATACAGTAGATAGGATGATGAAACTACAGCTCCCAGCATTCCTCACTGCCAGCCGACACTGGGTGGAATTCCCGCTGTAGCAGACAACCAGTGGAAGGCTGCCATTTTTGCACCAGGGGACTACAATTTCCATGAACCACTCCCCCCTCCCCCATCTGGCTGGAAGGGATGGAGTGTGGGGGAAGAGAAACACCTCCACCTGTGGTCAGACTGACTGCCAAGGAATGACCAAAGGGATTAGTAACATGGAAAGAAACGGTGAACCATGACTGCTGGTCAGATCAGGGTTAGGGGTGATCGATGGCAACTTATCGGGTGGGTGGGGTGGCAAAAGGGTGCGAAAATGGAGTGTGTGCCCTTAATTTGTCCTGGAAAGATGTGTAGAGCTCAGCTGCCAGCAGGATCTGTCCTAATTCTGTTCCTGAACAACCAAGGGACAGAATCAAGGGCCAAGAGGAAATTTTACACGGGGGAAACTGAGGAAGGGGAGGGGTCTGGCCTGAGTGCATTCAAGAGGGGTGAGCCGGCGTCCTCAGCTGCTTGCCCAATGGACTTGAGAGGAGAAACAGCCTCTGCCTTCGATCCGGGGTGGGGAGGCGGAAGATCTCAAAAGAGTTTGATGATGGATTTGCGAGATTTCCCGACGCCGATCCACTTGACTGAGGAAGAGAGAAGAGGGAGGGAGAATTGGGTGGGTGGGTGAGTGGGATCTAAAGAGGAGACCACCAGGAAATCAACTCCCGCAGGAAGACATTTAACCAGACAGATTAACAGAGTTGGAAGGGACCTTGTGGGTCATCTAGTCCAACCCTCCACCCAAGGAGATGATTTGACTGAAAAGTAGCATTTATATCTGATTTTCAGCGAAACTGGCCCACTGCAAATTATTGGTCTGCTAATAACCAGGAGGTTCACTTAACGACTGCTGCAAACAAAAAAAAGGGGTCGTAAAATCATGCTATTGACGTAGGTGACCTGCTTTACAATTGTCACGAGTTATGACCAGTGGTGGGTGTCAACTCATAAAACATTCCTGGGCCTGTTTTAGTAGTTGCCATTAAAAAAAAGGGGGGGGGGATGGCGGAAAAAAAGGAGGGGGGAATATGGAAGAGCGGTGCATCAGTTTGGAAACGAAAGTACATGCTAACTCTTATTTTTAAAAAGGCTGTAACTAAACTACCAGAGTTTTTGCCTGCGAGCATATTTAATTGGAGAATGTGATTGATGACACCCAGCCCGTGAAAGGGCTCAATTGGAGAATCTGGTTGATGAGACCCCCAGGGGGGAGAGGGGGAAACAGGGTCACAGGGGACTGTAAATTAAGTATGCCAGGGTTGGCTGAACATAGGGCAGGGCCAGTATGTCGCCTCAAGTGAATCCTTAGAAGTTTTTTGAAGTTTGGCTCGAGAATCATGATTTAATTAGGGTGACTGCTGGAATCCTGACAAAGGGGTTCGTATTGATGACGGTTGTGGCGTCCCCGGGGGTGTGTGTCACGTGATCCCCTTCTGCAGAAGCGAAGTCAACGGGAAAAACCACTCAACCGCCAGGTTACTAACCTTATCATCTGTAGGGAATTCACTTAACAACGGTGGCGAGAGGGGGGAGTAAAACGGGGCCAAGCTCCCTTAGCAACATAGCTTTTGAGCTCAATTGGGGGTCGTAAGTCGAGAGCTACCGCTATGTTTAAACTCACCCCCTCAACTTCCTTCTTCACTTCCCCCTTTGGTTTGAAAAACAAGAGCCCTCTGCAACCATGGGTTGGAATTCAAAATTCTTAACAATCGGTTCTGTGGGCGTGGCCTAATTTGTGGGTGTGGCTTGGTGGTCATGTGACTGGCTGGGCGTGGCTTGTATGTAACTATTATATTTATGTCAATATTGAATTTTTTTTAATTAAAAAAGAGCAACTTTTACCCCAATTCAGGCAAAGCAGGCAGGCAGACTGAGTTGCTCACAGAATCACAGATTCACTCAGAGATCTACCTTTCTGCCATCTGCTACCCGAGTCTGCACTGAAACAATAGAAGCTAAGAAGGTTCAGCTCCGCTTTTAGATTAGCTAGAAAGCAAGAAATGCAACTATTTCCTGCTTTCTAGCTACTTTAAATCTCCCGGCACAGCAGAACAGCTGATGCTCGGGGGGTGGGGGGTGGAAGAAAAACAGCAACTTACCAAACGCAGGCAAGTTTGATGGCACGCATGCCAAATAAGGCGTGAATGGGTAGGGAGGGGCGGGACCAGCCAATGGCGCGATTTGCCGATTCTCCAAACTGGGCCGAATCATAACAACCAGTTCTATAGAACTGGTCCGACCAGTTCTGTCCCACCCCCCGTCTGCAACCCCATTTCAAATACATGCAAGGTTTGGACCGCCCCAAAGGCTCACCTGGCACTCCCAGGTAGCTCTCGATAAACCGGATGTAAGCCTGGGCCTCGGAGGGCAAGTCGTCAAAGGTGCGAGCCCCCTCGGTGCTACGCCTCCATCCAGGAAGATCCTTGTATTTCACGGTGACTTTGTTCAGGAGCTCCTGGTTGGCTGCAGAGAAAGGAGCAGAGGATCTAGTTATAGGATCCTTGGGGGATCTCTGAACTTGGGGGGTTTCTACCAGACGTTTCGTGGCCCAGCAGGGGGACGTCATCAGGGTAGGAGGGTAGTAGGGTTTGGGAGGACGAGGGCGACTGTGGGATCCTTGGTGCTCTCTGAGCTTGTTTTCTTGCAGACATTTCATGACCCAACTAGATAACAACATCAGTGCTAAAAGGAAGTGGGGATAGAGGAGGAAGAGGAGGAAAATGTGGGGTCCTTGGGGCTCTCTGAACTTAGTCGTTTTATTGCCGATGTTTCATTAACCGACTAGGTAACATCATCAGTGCTAGAAGGTTTGCAGAGAGGAGGAAGGGATGGAGGAAGAGGAGGAGGAGGATGAGAAGGGAGGAGGACTGTGGGGTCCTTGTTGCTCTCTGAGCTTGGTAGTTTTCTTGCAGATGTTTCATCACCCAACTTGGTAACATCATCAGCGCTAGAAGGGCATTTGCAGCAAATTGCTCTCCCTTCTAACACTGATGATGTTGCCTAGTTGGGTCATGAAACATTTGCAAAAAAAAGCTCAAGAGAGCAACAAGGACGCCACAGTCCTCCTCCTCCTTTTTGTCTTCCTCCTCTTCTCTGCAATCTCCACTCCCTTCTAACATGATGATGTTCCCTGGTTGGGTCGTGAAACGTCTCCGAGAAAACCATCAAGCTCCGAGAGCCACAAGGACCCCTCATTTCAACCCTGAGCTACAAATAATCTCTTCTAATGATACAGAGGCAACAATTAGCTCCTTATCTGCTGGGACAGAAGCATCTGCATCCCAAAGTCTGAAGTCTCACCTGGGAAATATGGAATCTGCTTCCCATCAAGATGGTATTCCACACCCACTTTGATCTCTTCAAAGGTGTCAAGTATGTCCAACTTGGTCACAGCCAGGCTAGGAAGCATCCCCCCCGAAAAAGAGTGTTATGATCAATCCAAAAAAACAACGTTATTTTTCACCCTTTTTTAAAAAATTAATTTTTTGTTTTATTTTATACAAACATTCCATCTTTCGTTTTGTCATCTGGGTGCAAATATTTCTTGTGCAATAACTTAATGACGGGGTGATTGATTTAACCACGGCAGAGACTGGCTTAACAAACGTGGCAAGGAAGGGTCGTAAAACGGGGCCCTATTCGCTTCACTGACTCCTCATTCAGCAACATGAAATTTGGGGCTCAGCTGTAAGTCGAGGACTGCCTAAGCTGCATAGAAAACGCAGCAAATCAATGTCTCCTCTGTCAAGCCATTCTTCAAAACTTCCACAGTGCATTCAAGTCCCACAAGGAACAATAAAAACATTAAATATATACATATACATACATACATACATACATATATAGAATTTGGCAGAGACTCACGCGCTGAAACCATTGATCATGTGGGCGTATTTCACCAGGACGAGGTCCAGCCAGCCGCAGCGCCGCTTACGGCCCGTGGTGACGCCAAATTCCCGTCCCCGTGTTTGGAGCGTCTCGCCAATCTCCTGCAGCAAAAAAAGATTTAAAAATGTACGGTGATGACACTCCTTAAGCCCAATGCCAGCTTTTAATGCTGAAATATTCAGACATCAACCACAAAAAAGTAAGTAACTGCAGTAGCTAACTAACATCAGGGTGGATTTGATTTAAGTCAAGTCGACTGAAATTGCGATTGAAATCCCTAGTAAAAAGGGTTGATTTAAATCAACTTGACTTAAATTGTAATGTTTAAAGAACAACTGTCATCTCTGTCCAACAGAGGCTCCTCCTCTGATCCGCTGTTGACTGTCTGACTGTCCCAATATCGCAGAATATATAGCCTCATCTATATATATAAAAGCAGAATGCCCCTCACGCATCATCACAAAATCTCTAGAACCGTAAAGCCTACAAACTTGAAATTTGGCACTTATGTTCCTCTTGGCTTCTAGGGGCTCACTAAGAAAGGATTTTTCCAAATGACCCTCAGAGCATTTAGAGTATTTCCTATATTATTATTATTAACATGCTCTGATGCTAAGGAGCTCTACTCCCCCTCCCCACCTGGAAAGAAATCTGTTCCAAGTGCAAAACACAAGCAGAGGAGTTTCAGTTTCAGAGCACTGAGCAACTTTAGTACAGAACAGTTGAGCTAAGCCACGCCCAGGCTCCTTGCTGTCTCCTTCTCACTCACGCAAGTACTGTTTCAGTTTCCAAACAGCCCTCAACTCTCACACACCGACAGGACGCTAGCCAGATGAATACCGATGGATCCTGGTAGGCAGAGGCAAAATTTTTCTTTCCTTATTTTCCTCTCCAAAAACTAAGCCTGATCACATAGTTTCGTAGCGAAGCATAGGTATCCAGCTAGTGCTACATAACTAAGCTCCATTGCATGCTGAATAAGCTAGATTATTAATGTATCTTAAATGGAAAACTATCTTTACACTTTTTTAACTCCAAAATTTGATAGATATATATTTTTTAAAAAAATAATCCGATTTAAATGTTTTTTAAAAATCCAATTAAAAAAAAAAACCATTGATTTTTATCCACCCTGGCTAAAATTAGCACATTTTGTATTATTTCGTAATATCATTTCTATTTCTTCATCGTTCATCAAGTCGACCCGATAGGATTTTATCTTAAAGCAAGGAACTGAGCAATGGAAGGGTCCTGATGGGTGCAAGGTTGAGAAATAATTAATGGATAATAAAATCGGGGCGCAGTTCAGGACACGAAGAAAACGGTGCTCCCTCAGGTGAGTTTGAAGAACTGGGAAAAACGCACCCCGATATTCAGGGACTTACATTGTTCTGCTCGGTGGGGAAAGTCCCCACACCGACACGGGTGGTGTACGCCTTCACCACGCCGTACACTTTGCCGATGTAATGGGGCGGAATGCCAAGGCCGGTGCAAACCCCTCCCACGGTGCAATTTGAGGAGGTCACGAAGGGGTAAGTACCTTTGGGAGAGACAAGAAAGAATTTGGAGCTACAAAAGGAGATTTTTTTTTTTTGGTCAGCGACACTTGCACATTCAAGGTGAGAGTACCTAGTTCGAATTTCATATCCCTCTGCAACCAATGTTGGTCCCCATACTACGAAAAAAAAGGATGTTGAGTGTTGTCATGACGAGGCAGTAGAGTTGTTTGATCATGATCAACTGAATCACGATGATCTTTATTGGAGTCTAGTCTTGCATTTATACACGTTTTTAGTTATCCTCCAACATTGGTTAACTTTGGTTACTGCTTAACCTTCGTTACTTAGCATAATAGTAATTAACACAATTAATTATCTCTAGTTCAAGTCTAACATGTTTACTTCCTCTCTCTAATCCTCCTTTAGATTAGTGACTTTGTTTGCCTGAGTTGTATTTGCTTGTAAACATTCTTTATCTGAGGTTTGCCATCCGAGATTGGAACGTTCCTGCAATTACAACTCTACAGTTGAGACTTTGGAAAAAGTTCAGAGAAGCGCAACTAAGACGATCAAAGGCCTGGAGACTAAAACACACGAAGAAGAACGGCTGCAGGATTTGGGTCTGGCTAGTCTACAGAAAAGAAGAATTAGGGGGCGACAGGTAGCAGTCTTCCAGCATTTGAGGGGCTGCCACAAAGAAGAGGCGGGGTCAAATTATTCTCCAAAGCGCCCAGACAGGGCAGGACAAGAAACAACGGATGGAAAGTAATCAAGGAGAAAAGCAACTTGGAATTAAGGAGAAATTTCCTAACAGGGAAGACAATTAACCAGTGGAACAGCTTGCCACTAGAAGTCGTGGGCGCTCCATCACTGGAGGTTTTTAAGAAAAGACTGGACAAGTCACCTGTCTGAAATGATCTAGGATTTCCTGTTTGAACAAGAGGCTGGACTAGAAGACCTCCAAGGACCCTTCCAGCTCTATCCTATTCTATCTGTCACCTCCAACAATACTAAGCGACACCCTGACGACTTATCCAGTTGCTTCCCAGGTTCCTACTGCGAACGGTCCTCTCTTAAAATCATGAGGACTAGAACCTTGTTTTTACACAGCGTGGAAGTGCCAGCTGGCTTCTTCTTCCTGAGACGAAATGCCGGAATCTCCATCTCATGCTCTGGCTGGGAAGTCAACGCATGGACCTGGCATTTTTTAAGGGATTATTTTAATGAATGTTATTATTTAATATATGTCTATGCTGCCCTCTCGCCTTCCACCGAAGGGCCCCTGACCGGTTTTGCTTGATTTGGGGGGGGGGGTGTGCTGCACACCTGGCCCCAGCGGTGTGTAAATTGTGAGGGGGTGGCTTTAGCTGAGGTTGTGCACGCAAGCCCTTGTGGCCGATGGGAATAAACCGTGGTTTCGAAGGATGACAAGCACTGCACGCCGAACGAACCTAGATAGTAACTCTTAAGCTTGGCTTGCGGGCTGTTTTTGATTCAGAAAAGAACAGCGGTAAACGAAAACAGTGAATTTTAATTTTGCCGAAGGGACCTTACCAAAATCGATGTCCAGGAGAGCCGCGTTGGCTCCCTCCACGAGAATCTTTTTGGACGGCCCGTGCAAAGCTTGATACATGAAATAAACCCCGTCCTTCACCAGGGGGCGGATCTTCTCGGCGTAGATCTGCCAATCGAGGAAAGATTGACAGGAGCATCAACCGGAGGGCAATTTCCCCTAATTCCAAGGAAGGAGCTGAGTGCTTTCCTTTATTTTATTTTTAAAGAAAGGGCAAATATCCAAATAAGGGAAGAATTCGATAGGAGGCTCCAATTCCCCAATTGCTCTTCAATTTATTTTAAAGGAGGAAGTTTCTAGTCCTTCTGGAGGACAGGTGCACTCAAAGTAGTTGGAAGTTTCTAGTCCTTCTGGAGGACAGATGCACTCAAAGTAGTTAAGGTCAAGGCCACAGAAGGAAGAGAAGCAGGCTGTTTGTAAAACGGGGCTTGGGTCTGAGCCCAAAATACGACTGCACCAAACCATGGTTTGTTCATAAGTCCTCGACTTACGACTGCGGTGAAGCTCAAACGTCCTGTTGTTAAGCAGGAGAGGTTTGGTGCTTTGCCCCATTTTGCAACCTTTCTTGCCACAGCTGTAAAGTGAATCACCACAGTTGTTAAGTTAGTTACACTGTGGTTTAGCAAATCTGGCTTCTCCGTGGCTTGTTGGAAGGACGTAAAAGGGGAATCACCTGCTGCGACCGTCATAAATAGGAGCCATTTGCCAAGCGTCTGAATTTGGATCACGGGCCCACAGGGATGCTTGAAATGGTCACGTGTGTGAAATACAGAGATAAATCGCATTTTTTTCAGTGACATTGTAACTTCAGTCACTGAACAAATGTTTGTAAGTCGAGGACTGCCTTTATTTGAGTCTGCAAACTGGGGATTAAACCAGCTTTAAACAGACATTTGCATGGGTCAAGGAACCTCCCCGCCTGGTTGCCACAAAATGTCAGGGCTCCGACAATCCACCTCCCCCATTCAAATCATAAGTCTCTAGCCGCATCTCTCTGAGTTAAAAAAAATGATTTATTAGGAGTGATCATGTCGGCATTACCTGGATGCAGCCGACTCTAAGACACATCATTTATTTCGCCCTTGACCCTTGTCTTCCCCACATCCCCTTGATGTGTATTCTCCAATGGGACACATCCATAGCTAAGAGTCATCCATCATGCTCTCCAGTAATAATCTTGTGCGCCAACAGCTTCGGCTGCCTAGCAATTATCTGAAGTATTTAAGGAATGTCCTACATTCTCCACTCCCTTTCTGCTGGCAACTAGAGACCAAAGGAGTATTTTTTTAGCTGACACAAAATACCTTTAGTTGTTCCAGTTCGGCTTCGGTGTCAATATTAAGCGTTGGGTAGCTGGTTTTGTACTGCTGGGCCAAAACCTTGAATCTGAAACAGATCAATTAGTTACTTTGCGAATGATTATCGTTATCCAATTTCTTCGTCTTGCGGTTCAAAGCCGAGCGGCTGCCGGTAAAATTCAATATACAAACCTCCGACAATGATAAACCTAAACATAGATTAAAATGACAAAAAGTTTAAAACAAACTTTAAACAGCTTTCAAACTTTCCACTTATGCTATTGCACGTGCAGTGGCAAAATTCTGTGCAGCTGCAACGACCACAAGAGAAATTTGATTACAGAATTAAAGATGTTTACTGCACCAATTTCCGGTAGATACCTAACAATTTTTAGAGAATCTATATTTACACCCATATTTACCCTGCTCTCCCATCACATAACTAAAGGTAAGAGCCATACTGTTTCATACCATGTATTTTATTATTATGGAGCTTATTATTTATTATTAGTAAGATCTTTTAACATTATTGTAAACGGCGACAATTTGTCTATTGCTGGTCTGTGACCATAATAAAAATTTTATTATTATTATTATTATTATTATTATTATTATTATTATTATTATTATTATTATTATTTGCTTTATTCATTAAACATGAAACTCAGTCAACTGAACATTTAAAAATGTATCACAAATATTACCTGGCACTGATCGTTGACACGGGTTGCTTGCCAGCATCCAAGGTATCGACCAAGTGTTTTCTTAAAATATACGATGCTCTGAGTAGGTGCAGTTTTTTGCAGTTCTGCTGATGTTTATTGCAGGAAGCTGCAATTTCTTGATGGGTTTTGTAAAATTCTTGGACGTGGTACCAAGTGCCCCGATGACAATGGGTATCACTGTCACTTGTTTCATCCATAATCGCGTAATTTCGATGGCCAGGTTGCGATACTTTGTGAATTATTATATTATTATTATTCATCGCAGTCAGCCAGATATTCAGACTGGGTTTGCCTTTTTTGTCTACCTATCGAGTCCTTACCAAGGACCTGGGATAGGCAAATCTGGATGTTTGAGGGTGTTACAGATATCGCCGCAGGATGGAAGCGGTTCCAAGCAAAGCTGCCTTCCGCAATTGACTGATGGCAAATTTGTCAATGCCAATGATGGTGTTAAAGTGGTGCTCCGGTTGTTTTGGGATTATTATTGTTGTTGTTGTTGTTATCATTCCACTTATGCAGAGTCCTGCCTGCCCCCGATCCTCAATGAAGACTAGTGGCATTCCTGGGTTCAACGCCCACTTCTACTCCCCACCCCCATCCCATGGTTAAGAGCTGCCAACTCCCGAATTACTCACTTTTTGGAGAACTCGTTGAAATCTGCCAACAGGTCACAAATGCGCAGGCCGGTGCGTGAAGCTTTGGAGGCGTAGGCAGGTCCGATACCCTTCTTGGTGGTGCCCAGGCTGTTGGAAGAAACCAACCAGGGTCTGAAAGGACACTTCCCACTCTAGGAGACCGCCAATCCCTTGGCTGTATAGTGGACCAGCTCAGGAGGGACCCTCCCTAGTTTTTCGGGCTTTAAAGGAGATGGAGACTAAGGAGGTTTTTTTTTTTTTTTTCCAATGTTTTCCTTTAGGTTATGTATTTTGTGTGCTTATGATTGATTGAGAATTACTAAAACTTTGATAGGAAGAAATATAACTGAATAAAAGTGAAGGGAGAAATAATGAGAACTTTGGAAAAGGTATACATGTGTAAATGGAAATGTGATAATGTGGAACTATGTTTTAAAAAAATAATGCTTTATTTGCCTTGTTAAAATTTATAAGTAATTCTTAGAAAGGAGGTTTCATGCTTTTATGTGTTATGTTTTGCTTGTCTTCAAAAATCAATAAAACTTGTTCTTTTTTTTAAAAAAGGAGATGGCATTAATCATATGTGAGAAAGACCTTGAGGGATGGATGAAAACATGCCATGGAAGGAGTCAGAGAAGAGACTGCTGAACCCTCAGCTGCATAATGGATGGAGAAAGAGACCCTCCCTAGCATCTTCAGCTGTAAAGATGGGGGAGATGTCCTTTCACACCAACACAATTCTGTCCACCTAACCGTACAATAAAGTCAGAGGAAGTTCTTCTGGGTGTGCTTCCTGTTTGTGGAACTGCCTAGCAGGGCCGCCACTTCTCCAATTTCAGCCTGCTGAATCATTTCCGCCCTTGAGTCTTTGGAGAAGTCAAAGCTTCATGCCTTCTTCCCAATCTCCCACTTACTTTTTGCCTCCTTGCTGTTGCCTCTGATGTTCCTGGATGCCATCCACAGCTTGGTGGAAATTAAACACTAAAAGAAATTAGAAGAGAGCCAGTTACGTCCGGTTGGTTTAAGGCACCAGGCTTAAAAGGAGTTCTAGTCCCGCTTTAGGCGTGAAAGGCAGCTGGGTAACTTTGGCCTAATTGCCAGGAGATTGTGAATTCTAGTCCCGCCTTAGGCATGAAAGTCCACTGGGTGACTACGCCAATCACCAGGAGCCTGTGAGTTCTAATCCTGCCTTACCCAGGAAAGCTGACCGGATGGCTCTGGGCCAATCACCAGGAGACTGCGAGTTCTAGTTCTGACTTAGGTATAAAAGCCAACTGGGTGAGTTAGGGGCCATTCCTCTTTCTCAGCCCAGCCCACCTCACAAGGTGGTTGTGGTGGGAAAGAGGAGGAGGAGGAGGAGGGTGTGTTGGATACACTCACCGCCTTGTGTTATTTGTAAAATATTAAAGGCAGAATATAAATCAGTAAATAAATAGATGGAAAGTTTTGGCTCGCTCCTCACTGTCTCTTCTGTTTTTCCAAGATCAGGACCCTCTAAAATTCCTGCATTTTCGAAGACTTACCCAAGTGAGCGCGATCGGAAATCACAGTCCTGGCTTCCCAGCCTTCCAACCCTGGTGAATCAAAATGTTTCTTAATATTACAGCCCTGGAAAATGCAATTGATTCCTTTTCCCGCCATCAACCATTTCCAATTTCGCTCCAAAGCCATTATCTCCAGAGCTAAAACGATGAAGCAATTTTCCCCAATTGTAGATAAAACGTCCATTACGGTTTCCTTTTAGAAACAAAAGTAGCTGGGGCGGTTGTGAAATTCAGGAAGAAAAATGAGTTTGGAGACTTGGGGGTTTTGGAGGAAGCTCAAGAAAATCTCAGGTAGACATCCATTCTTGGAGAACATCAGCTCTCTTTCACCTCAATGTTTATGAGAATTAGCAACCTCAGGATCATCACAGCTGTTTTATTTTTATTTTTTAAAGAGAAACTGTTCTGGATTTGGGGAACAAGGGGGTCCCAGAACCACAATTCGGAGGGACGAAAAGTTTAACGTCAAGACCCTTATGGACTTCCATGGTGGACTTCCAAAATGACCTTGATGATGGGAATCCCAAGAAGAACATGCTGGCAACGGTTAAGTTTATTTTGGGAGGGAAATTAAGGCAATTGGTTCAATGCATTTTAGGGTTAGGGTGCATTTTATTTATGCACTTTTTCCTTCACCCCAAATTGATACCGAGAAGGACTCACCTGGTCCCTTCTTTAAGTTCTTCTCAGCTTCTTCAAAGAGCCCCGGAAGGTGAATTACGACCCCGTTCCCTGGAATAGAAAAGCATAGTATTTTCTCAGGGTTTTATTCTTATAGATAATCCTTGACTTACAACTGTTTATTTAATAACCGTTCAGCGTTACAAAGGCACAAGAAAAAAAAATGAGTTTTTTCCCCCAGGACTGTTTTTCACACTTATAACTGTCGCAGCATCCCTATGGTCCTGTGGTCAAAATTCACACTCTCGGCAACTGTAGTGACTCGTATTTACGACGGATGCAGTGTTTCGGGATCTCGTGATCCGCTTTTGTGACCTTCTGACCAGCAATCAACGAGGAAGCTAGGTTCCTTTTACAACTGTCTGTGTCAGGATTCTGGCAGTTATTCTCCATTTAAATCATGAGTCTCAAGCCAAACTTCCAAAACTTCCAAAGGATTTATTGGGAGTAAACATGCCGGCACTGCCTGGGTGTAGCCGACTCTGAGACACATCATTCATTGTCACCCTTGACCCTGGTTTTCCCTCCACCCTTCTGGGTGTATCATAATTCATATTCTCCAATGGGACACATCCATAGTCCAGAGTCATCAATCAAGCTCTCCAGTTAGAATTTTGCACGGCAGAAACTTCAGTCACCTAGTTACTATCTTTGAAAACATTTATGGAATGCACTTTCAGTTTGCAAGCTGCTGCACTGCTCCCCCCTCCCTTTCGGTTGGCAACTCTTAAAAGACCAGAGAAATATTTTATGAGTTGACATGTGTTATACTAATTTAAAAACTGCCTTAACATCTGCGGCAAGGAAGGTTGTGGAAAAATGGGGCAAACGCCAATTGACGGACGTCTTGCTTAGCAATAATTATTTGGGGCTCTATTTGGGTTGTAACCCGAGGACTACCTGCGCGGACGAAAGCTCACCGATGAATGCTGTGGCGTTGTGATTGATCACTCCGCTGGGCAAGAGATGGAAATTGTATTCCACCGTGTCCACCACCACGGTGTGTCCTGCATTGTTGCCACCCTGCCAATCAAGAGATATAAACAGGTGTCGATAAAAGAGAACAAAAGAGCGCACAAAGCTGTGTTTACACAACACGGACCCACCCCTGTCAGGCTGCACCCATGCAGGAGAAGGAGATTCAAGAAGAAAACTTTGAGAAAGGACTTTTAACAGTTGGAAGGGACCTTGAAGGTCATCTAGTCTAACCCCCACCCACCCCTGAATCAAGGAGATCCTACACCATTTCTGACAGATGGCAGTCCAAGTCTCAGTGCCCGAATACAGCAAGAGCTGTCCATCCAATTACTGACCGGCTGTTCCAGTTTGCGTCCGCCTTTGAACGCCGACGGGAGGCCGAGTCAGCATTGAGGGCCTCAGGGTAGGTGGGTGGTGCTGATTTCTTACTGTTTTGGGAGCGGGGGGTCTTGAGGACAGCTTCCGGGTCAAAGACTTGTGGACTTCAACTCCCAGAATTCCTCAGCCAGCCCCCCCCACCTCCCATTGCAAAAGATGGGAATTGTAGTTCCCCCACCAAAGCTGCAGAGGATGGGCTTTGTATTCCACCCATATGGGAGGGAGAACCCATTCCCCACTCCCCACACCCATACACACACGTTTGTGAGAAAGCAGCCCTGGTTCAGGCTGTGGAGGATGGAATTTGAAGTCCCCAGCTGCAGAGGAAAGGATAGGATTCAAGTCCTCCAACCTAAGCAGTTTGGGATTTGTAGTCCCCACCCCAGTTGCAAGGGATGGGATTTGCAGCTGCCCAGCTGTGGAGGATTGGGATTTGGAATCCCCAACTACAAAGGATAAGATTTAAGTCTCCCAATCTGGAGAGGGTGGGATTTGTAGTTCTCCCAATCTGGAGAGGATGGGATTTGTAGTTCCCCCAATCTAGAGAGCATGGGATTTGTAGTTCCCTCCAATCTGGAGAGGATGGGATTTGTAGTTCCCCCAATCTGGAGAGGGAGGGATTTGTAGTTCCAATTTATGGAGCGTGGGATTTGTAGCTCCCCCAGGTAATGAGGATGGGAGTTAAAAGTCTCCAGCCGCAGAGGACAGGACTTAACTGGGGAGAATGGGATTTGTAGTCCCCCCCAGTCGCGCGGGGATGGGGCTTGTGGTCCCCCCCCCCCGAGCCGAGGGCTCACCTGACACCTGCAGACCAGGTCGGCGTCGAGGCTGAGCAGGTCGACCACCTTCCCTTTGCCCTCGTCCCCCCACTGCGCCCCCAGCACCACCGTCACCCGGTTCCCCGCAGGGAGGACGTGGGGAGCCGACCCCAGCCGGGCCCGCTTCCCGCCCGGCCCTTCGCCGGCCCCGCCATTCAGCAAACCCGCCGCCGTCTCCGAGCCGCCCTTTCCCGCCATGTGCTGCAGGCAAAGCGGCGAAGCCCTAACATGGCGCCGCCCGGGCAAGCTTCGGTGCCAGCAGTCAACATGGCGGCGGAACGAGCGAGGTTTAAGCGCCTTCCTCCCCTCTTTTCCAGGTACGGCGCGCGAGAGCAGACATTCCCAACGCGGCTAAGCCTGCTTCCGCGTTCGCCTTTCTCCATTTCTCCAGGTAAGAAGGCTGGCTTGGGGGGGGGCAGCGCGCGGACGCAGGTGATCTCTGCCGGGCGCACAGGTGTTTCTGGCGTGGAGCGAGTGTTATAATAATAATTATGGTGGGTGGCACAGCCAGCCAGAGGTTTAGTCCGGATTTGGCATTCTTGTCCACTCATGGAGTCCTTCCCAAGGATAGGCAGGTGTTTTTATTAAATAATATTAAAGGTATGTGTTGCAAGATGTCGGCTGTGCCAAGCCAAGCTGCCTTTTGCCATTGACCGATGGGGATTTTGTCAATGCCAAGGTTGCATATGGCTCCAACAGTTACAACAGTTCCATTTCGTGACTGCTCCAAATCATCACAGCACTGACTTACGACTGCTTTTCACCCTTATGACCATCGTGATCAAAATTTGGACCCTTGGCAACTGGTTCATACTTATGACCGTTCTGTTGTGTCCCAAAGTCACGTGTGATCCCCTTTCGCGACCTTCTGTCAAGCCAAGTCAATGGGAAAGCCAGGTTCACTTAACTCTGGCAAGAGAAGTCGCATGGGCCATAAATGAACAACTGTGGTGCCTTGTAGTGTCTCAAAACTTAAGTTAGTTTTGAGGTGGTGTCTCAACTGTGGTGTCTCAAAACTAAGAAACTGGGCTTCCAAAATTGTGTTCAGTTCAAAAATGGTTTCTAATTAATTAGATCGCTTTGGGGGGTGGGGAACATACGAGTATATTACAAAAACAAATAAAGCAATTATGTTTCTGCCCTAAAACCACTGAATTTTAAAACCCAGCAGGAATTATTAGCTAAAATGGCCAAATTTCAATAAGCGGTGAACAAGATCCTGGAGGCTGGAAAAACAAAGGATTTGAAAAACAAGGTAGAACGTGGTTAGTTATCGTGGTCATCAAAAGTTGTCAGAGGACTTACTGACCCCAAATCCCATGAAGAGCCGTAATGATGTTTACAAGAAGCCGTTAATTGCTCTGTATTATGTCTTACTCCAGGCAATGTGGTTTGTTTCACTGTTATATTATGCAGACCAGCCATCAAAAGTGTCTTTTTGGTTGCAGGAAGTAACCAAGCTTTTTAAGCCACGAATCGGGTTAAGAAAACTATAGCTTAGTGTTGTGAATGTTCCCTAGAGCCCTTCAACTTTAAAGATGGGTGGACTGCAATTCCCAGAATTCCTCAGACATGATGGGGGATTATGGGAATTGAACTCCACCCATCATAAAAGTTATTGGGATGAACGAACAGTGCCCTAGATTTAAGATATTTTTGCTGTCCCGGCTCCCTAATGTTATTATATTCTAAGCTTTGCTTTACATAGGATAAAAAGGGAAATTTATCATGTTTTTAAACCACCCAACTCCCTCACAGAGGAACTCTAAATAAACATTAAAAAACCAGCAAGACACAACATATTGGATTAGAAGAGTCGTATGGAAAAGGACATATACTTTCCTCAATCCCTTCCAAAATTTATGAGACTTATATACTGTATAAGGCAGAGACCTTTCAATAAATGCTCCCTTAGCGAAAGCCATCAAGAGCAGAAACAAAACTGTCAAATCCTTCTTGTCACCCAAGCTTGGTTTTCTTGCAGACGTTTCATTACCAACCTTGGTAACATCATTAGGGTGTAAGGGAGAAAGGAGTTAGCTGGCTGTTTATTCCCTCTTCTATGCACCAATGTTATCTACTTAGGTGGTAAAACATCAGCAAAGAAACAGGTAGGTAATTCAAAGTAGGTAACTCAAGAGAACAAGAACCCAATAAATAAGGCTATATGGTCCTCGTTTAGCGACCTTTCAGTTACAACGCGGATTAAAAAAATTAACTTTGCAAGCTGTCCATGCACTGACAACCTATGCTAGTCTATACAGCAAAGGGAAGCAGATGTCCGATCATAAGAGCTGCCGGCAACTGCTTAAATACCAAGTTGCGGGTTCCAATGGTGGTCACTAAATGAGGACTGCTTGTGTTCAATGCCCCCCTCCCCCCCGCAATGAGAAGATGGGTTGCGAAGAACCACCGGATGCGAATCCCGCCCTCAAAGGCAGGCCCCTCTGGTTATCAACGAAGCAGCAGACTTCTGAGAGTACCCACATTCAAATTTATTGAAGAGGAAGGTTTTTTTTCTGCTAAAATCAAAATTAACTTTCCAGAATGGTTTGGTCTTTGGAGATGGTGTTTCACTGGGGAGGAAGAGGAGGAGGAGGAAGAGAAAGGCCCAGTGCTTCAAACGACGACACTGAAAAAGTTAGCAGTGCAAACAGAAAAAGCTAGAGTCAAGCGAATGGCTAATTTATTCTAAAAATGGAAGTTGTTTTTTTTTCCAACCTACAGATGCCAGAATTGTTAAGAAAGGAAAAGTTACAGATGTAAACAACCACACAAAAGTTACATGTTCAATGGCAACACCTCCCTCCCCGTATTTTTATTTTTTTATTTTTTTACTGGCCGCTTCAAACGTTTCACCATTCGTAAAAACATTTTTTTTCCTTTTTTTACTGCCTTCGGTTTCGCTTGAGCTTTTGTGTCTACAGCAACTAAGACATACAATCATGAAAAAACACTAACAGATTTTTTTTTTTTTAAACAGGCTGAATTTTTTAAAGGTTTTTTTTTTTTAAACCGTTTGACTTTTTTTTTTTCTCTTTTTCAGTTTGATTTTTTACAAAAATGTGCAGAAAAAGAAAAAGACATCTACTAAAGTTGCTAAGAACTCTCTCTCTCTCTCTCTCTCTCTCTCGGTCTGTTGGTCTAAGGGTGCAGCAGTTCCATTCATTCCCCAGTCCAGAAAGCCAGAAATCCCTTTTTTTGTAAAGGTCCCCATCAGAAAAAGACCTTTACTTTTAAAAACAAAAACATTCTATTTCCTAGAAAGTTACAGAAGCTAACTGGGGGCCCGGCGTCTCTTTCCCATTTATCCTGTGATCCAACAGGTGTAACGAAGGAACGCCTTACGGTGATCTCAGCAGCTGGCACTCTGCACATGGGCAAGGAAGGCCCACAAGCCAACTTTTCAGAGCCCCTCCAACAATTTCAAACTCACACAAGCGGTCAGCTACTGAAGTTACTCACAAGCACGGAGAGTCTTCCCTGTCTCACCCTCAGCATATGTGCGCTGTTTTTCTCCAGAAGAATAATTATTATTTTTTGTCCCCCTTGGTGGCCTTAAGTATTGAAAATACCAGTTAACTTTAGATATAAAAACAGTTGTTCACACAACCACACGCATGCACGGAGATCGAATTCTGCCTTTCCTTCCCCTCGTCTGTATCACCTTCCCCGCCCCCCCATCCAATTTCCCAGGCACCTCCCGAAATTGGCAGAATTCTGAATCTGGCTGAAATGCAGAATAAGCATCGTTATCATTATTATCATTTTTTAAAACAGGGATGGAAATAAAAAGCTGCTTGCGAAGACTGGGAAAAGAGATTTCGGGAGAATCTATTTGTTTTTTTAAAAAAAAAAAATTTAATAAAATAAACAGCCAACATTTAAAAAAGGAAAAAGAACCCCCAAACTGCCCACCCCCCGAATTTAAAAAGTTTGAATTTCAAACAGTGAATCACAAGGAACTAATCTTTTAATCCCTGTGGGTGGGAATCAGACATAATTAGCCAAGCTGGAGACAAGCAGCGCCAGGAAGCAAAGGGGTATTTACACGATGGGGAGCGGGGGGCATCCAGAGGGCATCCAAGCCAAGAAAGACAAGTGAATTCAATAATGTGAGGGAAGAGAGAATAGGGAAGGAGGAGGAGGAGGCAGACAAGAAGGAAGACCAGGAAGAGAAGGAAGGAAGGAGGAAGGGAAGAGGAGGAGGAGGAGGAAAGGAAGAAGACGACTAGAAGAAAGAGAACTATGCTTTCAAATAAGCACCAAAATTCATTTTCCAAGCTAGAAACAAGCGGTCTGTCCAACCCCCTCAAGGCAGGCTGTCTCCCCTTCCCCACATTATGTAGAGGCTGATCCGTTTTTCAAAACCATTATAACCACCACGGGGTGATGGGCTTCCCGTCTCCGATTCCCACCCCTGCACTGGACAGTATTTTAAAAAGCAACGAAAAAGAAAAGACGACCTTTCAGTGTTCCACGTTAAAGCTACTCGGAAGTTGAATTCGACCTGCCAAGCACAGATTTCCCTATATACGTGTCAGGTGCTAACACCCAGGAGATCCGGCAAGAAACCCTGAGAGATTTAAGTTCCTTTCATTCCATTATCAAGGCCAAATAAAAAACACCCAACTAAAATCAAAGAAGAAGAAGAAGAAGAAGAAAGGAGGAGGAGGAAAGGACATAGATTCTGTAGAGAGGATCAAAAGGAGCCGGCTGAAAAAAAAAGAGCTACAGGCTTCAGACGGGGACTGGTTTGGTGGTACGGCCGGAGGGATTTGTGAGCCTTGCTTGGAAATTCGAAGGAGGAACGGCGGCGAGGGGAGTTTAGCCTCCGGTCTGTGGCACCCCACATTCACTGTCTGAAAACAGGGGGTCGTGAGGGGGGGGTTATATTTTGACAGAGCGAGGAGAAGGGCCTGGTTCTCACCCGGGAGTTACTGAACAGCGAAAAATCGAATTATATGCCGACACACGACCTCCCCTGGGTTTTAAGTCGAAAATGGGGGGGGTGCCCCAACCATCCACCTTCCCAGCCCTGCACCCCCCCCCCTCTTCCCCCCCCCAGCAGCCCTGCCCCCCCCCCGTTTCTGTCCCACCCCAGCCCCCAGGACAAGCTGCCAGCCTAGCTGCTCTAACCATGTCTTAATTTTCCTATCCGGTCATAGACGGCTTTTTTTTAAGTGCTGCTGCTTTCTCTCTCTCTCTCTCTCTCTCTCTCTCTCTCTCTCTGTTTTTTATTTTTCCCAGGCGAACAAATGGGGATTACAAACGTCTAAACTAGAG